TTGTATTTGTTGAATTAAACAGTAGTAGCTGAAATTTATATTTTCTATGTCGAAGTTTTAGAATGTTTCGTTTGAATTACACGGCAGTGGTTGAAAGTTCAAGGTCGTACGTCGAGAATTCCTAATTTAAGTATTGCTTGAAGAGTTTACGCTGGAAGTTTCATTTCATATGTTGAATAGTTAGATTTCATCTGTTGAATTACACAGCACTGGTTGAAACTGCATTCGATATCAAATGTCGAGTTTTTAGATTGTATCTTCTGAATTACACAGAGGTTTCTGAAATTTTAATATCATATGTCTCGAATTTCAATTTAACATGCTGAATGACATTAATTGTTCTGAAAGTTTTATTTGTTATGTTGACTTTTTAGATTGTATCAATTAAATTGCACAGCAGTGGCTATACATTTTATTATGCTTGTCAGAATTGCTATTTTTATATTATGAAATGATGTATTGGTGTTAAAAGCAACATTACACAATGTCCACTTTAACAATTCATAATAATATCGAGTATTAAGATACATCATTTGTGTATTCAATTATGAGGCGCCATTACATTTCATGCATTTACAGTTTGAAAGTTACCATTCACATGTCGAGAATTACTATATATCCGCTAGAGGTCGCTCTTGCGAACGGACCGCGTTATTTTTAAAAAAGGAAGTTGCTTCTCTTTGTTGTGAAATTCAGCAAATGAAATCTAAATACTCGCTATATGAAATGGAATCAGCACAAACGGTTGCATTCAATGGATTATCGACATATGATATCGAAATTTCAACCATCTCTGTGTAATTCAAAATATACACTGTAAAACGACAAATATTAAACAAAAAATTAAACCACCACTATATAATTAAACATATAAAATCTAAAATCGCGATCTAGAAAATGAAACATTAAGTATATGCAATTTAAAGCAACACATGATACTAGATTTCTTAACATACGACATTGAAATTTCAACTACAACTTTCTCATTGGACCAGCTTTTGTCCGCTACGGCACTTCATACTTTTCCGGTACTTTAGAACAACTATGAGATTTTATTTGCTATCGATTCTTAAACTGTCCTTCCCCACATCCGCTGCGCGTCTGTTTTTTTTCCCCCCGAGAAGCCTCACGCGACGTGTTGAGATTGGTAACAGACTGGTTTATGATTATTTACTTAATTATAAACGGAAACAAAATGAAGTATATACACGCGAACAATTTAGATTAAAAGGCGCTAGGATAGGCTGATAAGGATTTATCAGAATGGCTGTTGCATTTATCAGACTGGATGCGCTGAATAAATCTATTTGCTCCTCCACAAGCTTTCCATATTAGCATTTACTTTTATTCGATTATAAAATTTATTGCATATTTGATAACGATTAATATTGGCTGTATGTGTGTGTGTGTTTGTGTATGTGTATGTTGAGAGAGAGAGAGAGAGAGAGAGAGAGAGAGAGAGAGAGAGAGAGAGAGAGAGAGAGAGAGAGAGAGAGAGAGACTGGATTTTTAAGTAGCTTTAACAACTTTTCAGTTATATTGCTACGATGTCTGCAGTGTGGTAGTTTATAACGATGTCTAGCACTGGGGAATTGTGTCTTAGGCATGTGACATCATGTCCCTCCCAGTTACATCATCCTGACACCAGGCAGACCAGTCCCAACAATAACCCATTATTGCTGAGTGCCAAGCAGAGCAGTTGTTAGTACCATTTTTATAAGTCTCTGGTATGAATCGGACAGTGTTCGAACCCGAAATCTCTCGCCTTTGAGGCTCGAACCAATTAGGCGATATCATTCATCTCTTTCGTGCCAAGGAAAATCACATCGTTCTTACAACAGTGACAACTCACTCGTACGCTTTGGTGTGATAAACAAAACTCTATTTAGAGTCATTTGCCAGATCACACGAACGACGGTCTGTCTATGGTGCCTGCTCAGGTCGGTCACTCTAGCACTTTGAAATTACAAACACATCCTACCCTATTGGCAGTTTAGCAGTAATTGCAGAAATAAGTATTTGTCACTTGTCCAGAGTTGTAATATGCTATTGGCATTGAGCATTTGTCATTTCTCCAGAGTTGTACTATTTTTATGGAAGTTGAGAATATACACAAAACTATCGCAATTGCCTCTATCGTCTTTTGAAAATTATTATTGCATACGTGTCAACATTGTATGCAGCTTGATCAAGAGGGCTTGCTTAAGAACAAACGAAGAGGCAAAGATGAAAAGCAACAAAGAATGTAAAGAAACCGAATGAATAGTGACTGATTACTTAATTGAATGAATGAATATGAAACTCTATCCATTGATTCATCCATCCATAAACTAATATATAACGAATAATAAAGTTCCAAGACGTCACTCAAAACCATCTCCAGGGGATGGAAGAAAACATGCATCAATAGACAGGGACATGAAATCTAAGTAAAACGAATAGTCCCCCCCTCTCTCTCTCTCTCTCTCTCTCTCTCTCTCTCTCTCTCTCTCTCTCTCTCTCTCTCTCTCTCTCTCTCTCTCTCTCTCTCTACTAGAAAGCTTTTAAGCATACAACATACTAATGAGGATCTGATCGTCATTCAATGAGTAGGCCATTATAGTAATTTGGTATTATGGGCTTCAACCTTTATGCGCCACGATGCGTCAGTCCGAAACACTCACTATTTTCCATAAATACCTGCATCATTGATTGAACTTAAATTCATGGGATGTGTCATTCACTTTTTAAGACAGTTTGATGGTATATACTATAAAACATTGGTGGAAAAGAATGATCACGCTTGATGCGTCTTTTCATGTAATTGGGGGAGGGCGGAGGAACCTATACATTTCCTGAACGGAGAAATATGTCTTTGTGTTTAAAGGTCGATGTTCTGGAATATAAGGAGGCAGGTTACCTTTTCTTGAGCTTCAATTCAGCATCCATCTAGGAAATTAACCCGTAATCAAGATCTGATTGGATGTCAGACATATGAGCTTTAAAACAAAGACATTAATAATAATATTAGTAATATTATTATAATTATTAATCATTTGGTGTAACACAATAAGGGATCACGTAGAACTCTGTGGTACCGGGGTAATTAATATCTCCGTTCTGACAAGTCTAATAGATTATATATGATTGGGTCTGAATCAGCCAGTTTAAACTTTCTTCTTCTTCGATCCTTGTTTAATAATGAATTAGTGTTGAAATGGAGGTTTTAATTTATGTTTTAGAAGAAAACTAATGGATGTTTTGTTTATGCAAATCTAAAATGTATGTGTTACATTGTTTTTTTTTCTTTAAGCTTTTTTTTGTTATAATTCTAGTGACTACTTTAAATTACATGGAAAAAATCATGCAACATTTATGCTTTTCTACTCTAAAGGTAAAATTAACACATTTTGGTATCATTCTTTATATAGTAAAATATGTTTACTCTTGCATATATTAATTACTCGTATTGGATTTAGATACCATTGTTGTTATTTATTATTATGGAGTGGGGGTAGTTTAGAAAGTATATGGACGTATTCTTTCCGTCAATGGCATGTTGTAGTTTGGAGGGGCCGAAGATAAGGCACGATATAAGTTTTTACGTTAATTCTTTATTTCGTATTATAGTATAAGTATATATTTATGCACTTGGTAAGACAGGCTCGACTTTTGAAATCCTGTCTAAACTACATTCTCAAATAATCAGACGTTTAATAAAATCGGTCCTATAATACATCCAGATAAGTTCGGTTTTAGTTAATTTCTTTAGTTATACAGTGAAGAAGTCATTAAATCAAGTACAATGACCTAAGGGGCCCTTTTATTTATCGCTTGTTCGTGAAGATGCAATTTAGAGCAATCTCTTTGTTATTCCGGATTGTCACGAAACTGCCCGAAATTACAATTTCACGTGTTGTATTAGAAATGTTTGTCCTTAAAGTTCCATTTTCGTGGTCGAGATTTTATTATACATCAAACAGTAGTGGTTGGAATTTATATTTTCTATGTCGAGTTTTTAGAGTGTTTCTTTTAAATTACGGGGCGGTGGTTGAAATTTCAATGTCATACGTCGAGAATTCCTAATTTATGTTTTGGTTCAAAGTGTTTATACGGAAAGTTCCATTTCATATGTTAAATATTTAGATTTGTGTGAAATTACACAGCTCTGTTTCAAAATTCTCTGTCAGATGTCGAGTCCTTAGATTGTATCCTCTGAATTGCACAGTGGTTGTTGAAATTTTAATGTAATATGTCGAGAGTTTCAATTTAACGTGCTGAGTCACATTGATTGTGCTGAAAGTTCCATATCGTATATTGCGATTTTAGAAAGTATCTGTTGAATTAAACAGCGGTGGTTGGACATTTTGCTCTACTTGTCATAATTGCTAGTTTTATATGGTGAAATGATGTGTTGGTGTTAAAAGTAACAATACATAATGACCACTTTAACAATTATAAATAATATCGAGTATTAAGATGTATTATTTGTGTATTCACTTATGAGGCGCCATTACATGTCATGCATTTACAGTTTGAAAGTTACCATCTACAGGTCGAGAATTACTATGAATGTCTTTGCTAGAGGTCACTATCGTGAACGGAAACCCGTTATTTTTAAGCCAGGAGGCTGCTGTGAAACTAAACAGATGATATTTAAATACTCGCTATATGTAATGGAACTTTCATCACAAATACATACATGTGAATAAGGATTCTGGACATATAATATTGAAATTTCTACCACCTCTGTGAAATTCAAAATATACACTGTATGTATGTGTGTGTGATTTATTTTTTAACGTAGCTTTAACAAGTTTTCAGTCATATTGCTACGATTTCTACAGTGTGGCAGTTTATAGTGATGTCTAGCACAGGAGCATCAATGCCGCAGACATGTAGCATGATGTCCCACCCAGTCATATTATCTTGACACCAGACGTACCAGTCCTAACACTAACCTCTTAATGCTGAGTGTCTCGCAAGGCAGCGGTTAGTACCCTTTTTTAAAGTCTTTGGTATGGCTCGGCCGGGGATTGAACCCGCGACCTCCCGCATCCAGGACGGAGGCTCCAACGACTAGGCCACAGGAGCCGCCATATACACTGTAAAACGTTGACATATGAACTAGAACTTTAAACTACCACCGTATAATTCAACATAAACATTCTAAAATCTCGACCTTGAAAATGGAACTTTAATGACACGCAATTTGATCCAACACGTGATATTTGATTTCTCGTCATTTCAACTGCAACTTTCGTATTCTACGGTACCTCATTTTACAATACGGAAGCAATCGTGAGTTGTGTGAAGATGAAAAACATTATTTTTGCTATCCTTTATGATGAAATTGTTTAATATACTAAATATTTCGGAATATATATTTAAATTTCTTTAGCGTCAGACCCTTGCCACATAAACACCAGACTACCGGTAAAAATATAGTCTCTTTCCGGTTAGATCTTTTTATAATAAAACAGATACATCGAATTCAAGTGTATGTTGAGGATGCAAAACGTAAGTTACGTTATTCTTTGCGAGCATTCTTCTCGTAAACATATGCATGTAAGAACGTGGCTATAATGTTTTTAATCTCATAAGTCGGTCTTATGAAATGAAATTTTAATATTTACGAAATCAGTTCAAGTACACGTAGGTGTAAAGCATGTTACTGCATTCGCAATTAAACGAAACTTTACACGGGTTAGTTTTTTAATTTTAACTGTTTCGAGGATTGGTTTAGCACCATTGGTGGTTGTTTAACATGGAATTTTTGAAGTCACTGGTGACTTCGGTGACGTTGGTTCGCTGAATTATGTATAAAGACAGTGTCGGATGTTTATTATTATGCCCCACCCATCCCAAACACAAAATGTGTAACTAAAACAACATTATAGGTTATAAAGGTGGGAAAATACCAGTGTTGCCATAATTCCAAATCAAAATACTCTTACATACAGATCGAAATAGTCATATATAATTCATTCAATTTGTAATCAACAACAATTAATTTAATTGTTTTCTGAAGACCCTGTTGGTGTTGTGTTCTAAGCAAATGCCTTATGTGCTTAATTGGTAATCGGGAACTGTATAAAGACTCAATGTCAGGAATCAAAGGTTCTGGACCTATTGGTCTGCGTGATAGGTTTGTTAGTGATGGATCCATCGGTATTCCATCTTCGTTAGCCCAAGTTCCGATAACTCTATCTACACCTTGGCGGATCGAACAGACATTTTTGTGCTTCGTTCTGTGAGTGTCATTGGCAAGCCTACGTATCCAATCAAAATTTAGTTGTTCAAAAATTTGAACACTGTTTCTACGTGATCAAGTCAACGGGAGCACACAACTTTCATGTACTAATAAATAAACTGTTTTCAACCTTCGGTTCTTGTTCGCACAAATACCTTTAACTAAAACACACCTGTAATGGCCTCCCGATAGTACATAGTCATACTTTTGATGTTAAATGTACAGTTTCCTTTTCAGGTCAATTGCGTCCACCGTTTTCGGCCGATGTACCATGCACAAGCTATTGGTTAGTTTGTTATAACATACTAAGGGAGGTAACACATGAAATCCAGTCGCTAGGACAAAACACAAATATAGCAGTTCGATCCGCCAGGTTGTAGATAGGGTTATCGGAACATTGCCCAACGTAGATATCGATATTCTAGAAAGAGTGGACTACAAGAAATCATTCCGCAACCATTCATGGAGAACAGGAGATCGGTATAGCATGAGTTAACATCGTCATTACTATTGATGACAAATACACTAAATGTTCCATTAAAATTTAGCGTCATTACTATTGATGACATATACACTAAATGTTCCATTAAAATTTAGCGTCATTACTATTGATGACATATACACTAAATGTTCCATTAAAATTTAGCGTCATACTATTGATGACATGTACACTAAATGTTCCATTAAAATTTAGCGTCATTATGCTATTGATGACATATACACTAAATGCTCCATTAAAATTTAGCGTTATTATACTATTGATATACACTAAATTTTGTATTTTTAATCTTATTTTTCAGAGTATCCCACTTCTGACACCAATTTTTACGACTTATTTATTATTATTATTAAGACTCCTCTGTGTTTACGATTCTGTGAAGAGTTCTTTCAGTCATAACATTTTCTGGGTTCGCCTGATACTGGCTTGAGGTGAAATGAGTGTAGATGTTTACTTGTGGTGTTGGTATTGAATATTCCTGGATAATAAAAGACTTGAATGACAGAGAAGAATAAGAAAAGAATGAAGAAATGTGTGTTATATATCTGAGGTGAATAAATACAGAATAAATTGTGTTTTACTTTTTATTGTGTTCTCTTATTTTCTTTTTCTAATAATCATAAATTAGAATTATATTGACATACAGAATAACAATTTCACTTGATGTTCATACATTTACTATACAACATAAGGAAATAAGATTGTTTGCTTATTACACAACTGTTCATGTATACTTCAGGAAACAATTTTATCATAAATGTATTATACAGTGATTTTAATAAAATTTGAGATTATTGTTTATTTATTTATGTTTACAGCAACAATATAATCTTAGTGGTATAGGCTTGTAATAATCTATCTCTATTAACTCCTTATACAATAAAACTTTTGAAATATAAATCTGAACAAATCCGAATTTTGCATAATTCCGAAATTCGGATCTCTCAAAATCTGGAGCAGTCCGAAATTTGTGACCTTCAAAATCTGGGCAAACCCGAATTTTGGATAGTTCCGAAATTCGGATCATTCAAAATCTGGAGCAGTCCGAAATTTGTGACCTTCAAAATCTGGGCAAACCCGAATCTTGGATAGTTCCGAAATTCGGATCATTCAAAATCTGGAGCAGTCCGAAATTTGTGTCACTCAAAATCTGGGCAAATCCGAATTTTGGATAGTTCCAAAATTCATATCATTCAAACTCTGGAGCAGTCAGAAATTTCTATCATTCAAAATCTGTGCAAATCCGAATTTTGGGATAATCTAATAACATAACTTTTTTTTTCTAGAGATAACCTTGAACTGAATTTTGGGTATTTTAATCACATAACTGTTTAGAGATAACATTTACCTGAATTAAATTCGCCATGACAAAATGTTTTTAATCATAATCAGAAAAGAGACAAACGATTCAGACGTCAACGCTGTGTCTGTCGTCTGCGAAGACGCGCAGTATTTATACTCTCTGAACCCTTGGAGAACCTCGGATGTTTACATCAACATCAACAGCCGGGACACTCGAGGTTCCCCGATTGGGTTTAGAAATGGGAGCGCTACCACCTCGCGCTTAACAACATAGAATGCTGGGAACAATGGCGCCATTACACAACTAACGGAGCAATTTCCGTAATGCAATATTTAATTAAAATACATAGTAAACAAGTAAGGCAACATAAAATATTGTCATCTAGTAATACTTAAGTGTCTAACAGTTACTCGAAGTATAGTGGCGAGTTGAAATAATCATCACAATGGATGACATGAATGTCGGACGGTTTCATTCAAAACCCTCATGTGCTTTCAACGAGGGACCGTCTCAAAGCAACGTAATCAATAGAAACAAGGTACATGTACGCAACATCTTAAATAATTGAATTAAACATACAAATAAAATAAAATTGTGAGACTGGCATAGCACATTACAATTTAGCGTCAATACTATTGATGACATATATACTATATGTTTCATTAAAATTTAGCGTCATTATACTATTGATGACATATACACCAAATGTTCCATTAAAAAATAGCGTCATTGCTATTGATGACATATACACTTAATGCTCCATTAAAATTTAGCGTTATTATACTATTGATATAAACTTAATGTTCCATGAAAATTTAGCGTCAATACTATTGATGACATATATACTAAATGTTTCATTAAAATTTAGCGTCATTATACTATTGATGACATATACACTAAATGTTCCATTAAAATTTAGCGTCATTACTATTGATGACATATACACGAAATGTTCCATTAAAATTTAGCGTCATTATACTATTGATGACATATATACTAAATGTTTCATTAAAATTTAACGTCATTATACTATTGATGACATATACACTAAATGTTCCATTAAAATTTAGCGTCATTACTATTGATGACAAATACACTAAATGTTCCATTAAAATTTAGCGTCAATACTATTGATGACATATATACTAAATGTTCCATTAAAATTTAGCGTCATTACTATTGATGGCATATACACTTAATGTTCCATTAAAATTTAGCTTCAATACTATTGATGACATATATATTAAATGTTTCATTAAAATTTAGCGTCATTATACTATTGATGGCATATACACTTAATGTTCCATTAAAATTTAGCGTCAATACTATTGATGACATATATACTAAATGTTTCATTAAAATTTAGCGTCATTATACTATTGATGACATATACACTTAATGTTCCATTAAAATTTAGCGTCATTACTATTGATGACATATACACTAAATGTTCCATTAAAATTTAGCGTCATTACTATTGATGACATATACACTAAATGTTCCATTAAAATTTAGCGTCATTATACTATTGATGGCATATACACTAAATGTTCCATTAAAATTTAGCGTCATACTATTGATGACATGTACACTAAAGGTTCCATTAAAATTTAGCGTCATTACTATTGATGACATATACATTTAATGTTCCATTAAAATTTAGCGTCAATACTATTGATGACATATATACTAAATGTTCCATTAAAATTTAGCGTCATTACTATTGATGACATATACACTAAATGTTCCATTAAAATTTAGCGTCATTATACTATTGATATACTAAATGTTCCATTAAAATTTAGCATCAATACTATTGATGACATATATATATATTAAATGTTCTATTAAAATTTAGCGTCATTATACTATTGATGACATATACACTAAATGTTTCATTAAAATTTAGCGCCATTACTATTGATATACACTAAATGTTCCATTAAAATTTAGCGTCATTATACTATGGCAGTCTACTGCAATATCCTATTTATTCCTAACAATACATTGGTCACGTTTGCTGATAAAACCACACATTGA